CCACACACACCCCTTTGTCTCCCAACCCTGACCAAATTCAAATTCCCCCAAAACCTCCACAAATACCCAGCCAAATGTACCACTTCATCTTACCCCCACCCCTTGGCCCTCAACCTCAGCCCTCCCCACATTCATCCCTCCTTCCCCCCAACATTTCCTGCAACTCAGAAACAGCCCAAAACCCCACCAAACAACCCATATCCCTGATTTCATTCCACTTAAGAAACATAAGCACATGGGCATTATTTTGAGTGAGTTGTATTTTCCCTCTTTCCCTCCAATGTAATCCTATATATTCAGCAATAGGCCTGGGTGTAGAAACACATTGTATTCCCCTTTTAATCAAAGTGATTCACTTGTGTGTTTCATTCCAAATTCCTAATCCTATATCTTAAGAGTGGTTCTCTTGAGTGTGAGTTTTAGGTTCTAGTTATTTAAATAAGTGTGTTATATCTTATTTTAATGCTAGATTCAACCTCAAGTTAAGATAAGGGTGAGTAACATCTATTAACACCAACTTGGCTTGTTCCCCTCCCCAAAGAAATACCTTTTTTCCTGTCTCGAGCTGTCGAGTAATCGATTATCAGTAGTAGAAGTTGATTATCTATCCTTCGTAAAACACCCGCAGTCTTCAATAGTCGATTATCACTTTCAGATAATCGATTATCAGCTTTTCCCAGAAACCTACAACTCACAATAATCGATTACTACTCCTCCGTCAATCGATTATCGTCCTTCTCAGAGAATTCCCAGAAAAACTGCCAAGAACCTGAAGCCTTCAATAATCGATTATCCACTTAGGACAATCGATTATCTTCCTTTCCCTGCAAATAAAGAGTCTGAAACTATAAAACCCTGAGCTTAGATATAACATTTGGTATCAGAGCTTGTTGTTAAGCATTCCCTGAGGCCATACAACACACTTCCCCTTTTCTTTCATTTCCATTTCCTTTACTCTCTCTCCCTTACTATCATCATGTCAAACACTTCCAACAACCAATCTAATGAAGAACTCCTAGCCTCCAATGCTGCTCTCAAGGCCCAAGTTGAGTACTTGGCCAAGCAAGTTGCCCAACTCACTAAGCTCAAGATGAGCATGGTGAATACCCCGGAGGAAAGTGAAGAAGACGAAGAAGTTCACCCCGAAGCTAACTCTAGTAACACCACAAGAGAGGAGAATCATGAACGAGGAGCTACCGATTTCAAGGTGGACATACCAACCTTTGAAGGGAAGAACGATCCGGATGACTTTCCAGAGTGGCTGGAAACTGTTGAGCGCGTCTTTGATTTCAAAGATGTGCCCGAAGAAAAAAAGGTCAAGATCGTGGCATTGAAGTTTCGGAAGTATGCTTCCACTTGGTGGTCCAACCTATCCACCAAAAGAAGGCGAGAGAATAAGGCCCCTGTGAAGACTTGGCTCAAGATGAGGAGCTTGTTGAAGAAGAAGTTCCTACCCGAACAATATGTACGGGACAACTTTTCCAAACTTCAACACCTAAGGCAAGGTCCCCGCTCAGTTGAGGACTATACTCGGGAGTTTGAAGAACTTTTGATGAGATGTGATCTTCACGAAAACGATTCACAAACATTGGTACGTTACCTATTTGGATTAAACACTCAAATAGCTAATGTAGTAGAGCTGCAACCTTATGATACCTTTGAAGAGCTTTCTAAGCTGGCTCTCAAAGTTGAGTCCCAACTTAAGAGAAACAAAACCTCATTTGTCCGTACTTCACCCTTTTCCAAAACCCCTCCAACTACCTCAAAGATAACTCCAAACACCCCTGCTCAAAATACCCA